TGGCAAGCCATCGAGGGCCGTGTGACAGGCAAACAGGGGCAGATAAATATTAATTTTCTGAATTTTTAGGGGCTCCGTGGGCCAGACAGAATGGCCTGGCAGGCTGCATCCAGCTCCCGGGCCACATTTTGCCCACCCCTGTCCTAGAGCCCCTCAGTCTTATAGCAGCAGAATGGCAAACAAGCATCTCTGAGTAGAGCTCCTACAAGAGCTCCTTCCCCCATTGCTCCCAGAGCACTAACCACCTCCAATTTCAACCCTGGGGCTTAGATGTGCCCAGGGCCCCACCTTCTTCTGGTCAGCTGACCAGGTGCAGGTGCAGGCTAATTCCCTCATTAGCCTGCTGCCATGGCAACCTGCCCCTGTGGGGGTTCTGCCTGGCTCCTAGGGTCCTCTCTCTAGGCAGTTTCTGCCCTTAAAGGAGCAGGCACACCTTAGTGCCTTGCGACAACTATAGAGAAAAGATTTGCAAGGTAGAGATGAAATGCTCACCTGAGAGTAATCCTGGTATACAGCGCTTCAGGGGCAGATCCAGAAGGACTGCAGTACTGCAGTCATGCACCCTCCTTTGATTCCTGGTCCACCCACAGTTTAAAACCAACTGCCTGGTAGTGGCAGCAACATGTCTATTCAGGCAGCAGTGAAGGAATCAATTGACTTCATGGCTCATCATTGTTATATACCAGATTCCTTCTAAACTCTTTATTTCACAGGTGTAAATGACCCTCTCTCCTTTTTAATGAACTTGATGTTCCACTAATCAATCTATCCTATCTTCTGCAATGCTACCATCTCTTAGCTGCTCCTAGTAACCTACTTTCTTTTTCACATCCCTGTAGCTAAAATTTGAGCTAAAAACAGAAACTCAGGTACAGAAGTATTAACTCAGGTGAACAATAACTCAGGAGTGGAAATAACTTTCAGTGACGCTTTAGATGCACTGTCCAGATGCTAAAGAAGGCTAGATTTTGTTTTATGAATCTAAAAAAGAAATGTACCTTTACTTCTAATGACTACAGGAGTAATGAAACACAATAATTATTTTTGCCTAGTTTATGTTTTTAAATATATGAATGCACATGCTAATTAAGTTATATTTGCTTGCTTCAATCTTAAACTGAATAATACAGCCCTAGGCCCCTAAGATATTTTATTAGTAAAGCCTCTAGTTTCCTTTTCACCAGAAAAAAGTATTGTATTATATGTGCTGATATACCACACCATCTGCACCCCTTTTTTCAAAATCCTAGATTTGCCCATGCAGCACCTACTGGGTGTTAAGATGAGGTGGCCACATATGGGGGATTATACTTATGGTTAACCACAGTGAAGAGAAAATGTCATTTACTTTATTGTTCTGGGTCACTGCATAGACTTTATTAAACTTTTATCATCTGAGCCCATTTAATGAAAGTTGTGCAACTAAGATATTGGATGCATCCCTGAAAACATACCCCTAACTCTTAAATTTTCACCCCCCAACATACTCAATGATTTTTGCCTTCATAGCCATTTACGTCCCATATCACCTAGCAAGTCTGGCGTTGCTTTCAAATGCAAAAAAAGCCACAAATAATAGGCTTTAAAAACCTTTTTTCAGTGACAATTTTATGATGCCAGCTCCGCCGTCCATCGAATCTGACAGCCTGTGACAAGCCAGAATGCCGACAAAACAAAATTACAAAAGCACTACAACTAATCATGCACAAGTCACTCATACAACCAAGTAAAATGCTGTAACTAGTAACATATAATTTATTAGAATCTCCCATGTTAAATGGGCATATCCTCAGGCCTTCATAGCATGGCTTCTTTGTTTGCTTATTTGTTTTTCCTCTAATCTATTTTGTTTTTTATCTTTATATTTCTCTGTACACACACCATAACTACATTCATCTATCATTTTAGCAGAAGGCAAGAACTGTGGTATAGTAAGAGTTTCAACATTAACGACAGTTTTGGCCAGAAAGGCACCACATTTGGGTGTGTTTCTGTTTTTATGTTACTTCAAATAATGTAAGGACCACACAGGACACTTGGTAGAGATTTTGATCAAACAATTTAATGAGTGCAACAACCTTGTTACCAGAAGATGACTCAACTTTGTAACATTCAAATCACTGTCATGCTACTTGTCAAAACTGAAGCACAGCCCAAAATGTCCATCTCTTGTTTTTTATTGTTAACCCCTGCTGAAAGAAGTACTGCACATTACACTTTTGGCATAACATTTAAAATCAGCAACCAGATGGCTGTGTAGTAACATCCAAGAAATTGGTCCTCATCAGCACTTAATCATAATTTGGGGCTGGCTTAAGGAATGTTAAGGCAATGTGGAGCCCTTCTGCTCTAAGACACGAGCTGGAATTTAGACTAGGTCTCAACTGACCAAATGTCATTGCCATGCAAGAGCTGTCCTACAGGCTGCGTGAAACAGCTATGATTTCTAGCTGGAAATAGGTGCCCATAGTACAAAATCCACCATAGCAATATTCTCAACAAGTGTTGACTTACCCAAAATCCATCATAGCAATATTCTTAACAAGTGTTGACTTACCCAAGTAAGAGAGACTGTACTACCCCTACCATCCTGATGGCCCCTCTTTAATGTCTTCAGGACAGTTATCACCAGCAGTGCTACCCCAGAGTTTAAACTATCCTGAGGAAATCACTCTTCTTTATGAGCAGCGAGACTGAGAATTGAAGTGTGAGCAAGTCTCAAGCAAAAAAAGGCAGCCGCCTCAATTAACATATGCTCCAGTTAGTGTGTTTAATTGACAACCTGAAATAAAAGTCAGCTGTTGGGATAAAGACAGTGGGGGGGGCGGGGCGGAAGGATCAGCTCTGCTTCTGGATAAGACTTTTTAAATTACAAGATCTTAATTACATTAAAATCACGATGGCACCATATGTACATCACTATTAAACTAGAGATGGAGGGAGTGCAACTAGGTACAGAGACTGAAAAGTAGCATTGCTGAGTTCTAGTTTCAGCTGTAACACAGATTTGCTCTGTGAGCTGAAAAGTTTTTTTCTGGTTGCTGTGAGATTTAATTCACTGATGTTTATAAAGTACATTGAAAGGAGTTGATTGACATTAACAGTGATACAAAATATTATTTAACAGTATTTGTACCTTCCATATCATGTAGCTCATATTGCAGGGAATGATACAGAAAGAAAACATATGACGGACATAGTAATTTAAAACCCACCATTATCCATTGGTAGCGCGCGTGTCTGTTCTGCCTATTCAGGGCAGTGTGTTTTCCTAGACAACTGCCATCTTCCTTTTACACATTCTGTTGAACTCAGACCACCAAGATCTCTGTCTTTAGCACTATGTTGGCAAACAACAAGGCATTAAGTGGCAGAAACAATGGACAGTTGTTTCAGGTGGGTCAGACCACAGAAGAAATGGGGAGGAAGAAGGCACAGAAGAGCAGGAGACACCCAAAGTGATCACACAAGGGGAAAAAGACAGCTAGACACAGAAGGAGACAACTGTAATTTAAGGAGTTGCTGGGCATTAATGAGGGAGCTGCTACATGTGATGTATCTACATCAGATATCCAGCTATACTGGAATATGTTATCCCACAAGGACTAGCCTCCAATAAACAGAGTAACCCATGTGTCTATGTGCTGAAGATAGAGAGAACACTGTTCGTAGATAAATGCATAAAATATATAGGATAGGATCTCCATCCTTGGAGGGTTTTAAGACCCAGCTTAGACAAAGCCTTGACTGGGGTGATCTAGCTGGGGACAGTCCTGCTTTGAGCAGGGGGGTGGATTAAATGACCTCCTGAGGTCCCTTCCAACCCTCATTTTCTATGATTCTATGATACCTGAGCTAGGATTTCAGCCTATAGTATCTACATTGTCCCCCATCTCAGAGCAAAACCTTTGTGTGGCCAGTTTCTGTAGGGGGCGTCTGTGGGTTCTGAGACACAATCAAAACGCAGACAGAGGAAATGCAAATGTCATTCAGCTCCCTTTCATTGTCAGGAAGGACACATGAGGCTAAAACACTGTGCACTGCATCCTTTCCCCCCTATGTGTCTTACTGCTTTTGTCCTAATTTATCCCATGCATAATTTATTTACATGTGTATTGTTTCCTGATCAGCAACTTTAAAGAATAAATGAAAATTATAAAATGTTTTATTAAACAAGTTGTTAATAAAAAAGACAGATGGTGTCAGACAGCCCGCTCCAATCCTGCTCCCTCTGCACAGTGTTCATACTTTAAAAGGCATACAGAGAAAAGCAAACCCTGCACTTGATGCCTATTGTTTCCTCTACTCTCACCCCG